TGTGTGTGTGTGTGTGTGTGTGTGTGTGTGTGTGTGTGTGTGTGTGTGAATTCAGAAAAGATTTCTTAAGTAAAAATTACAGTTAAAAGGAAAACAAAAGTAGAAATTTGGAAGTTTCTGTTTTAGCAGCGTCGATCATTCGTGTAAGAAAGGTTAACATGGCAATCTTCCGGGTTGTGGTTAACTCGTGGTTAAGGGTTAACATAGCAGTAATTACTGGCCCTAGGCGATCAACACATTTTAACTCAGAAAGCTTGGCATGGTGTCATTTGAATCAGAAATAATCACTCCTAAAGCAACTCTTGGCCTGAACATGAGGAAGAAATGAGGTGGGATATGGAGTCTTGGAAACTAGCTGTTGGTAAATCCCAAGACCATTGGTTATTTAGCCAACCATCTTATCCTCTTCCAAAACACCCAAAAGACTATTCATCCCCAAACAGTCCTTGACACTGAAAATCACAACTAACAGTACGGAGCTTTCAGCTAGCTCCCACTCTTTCACTTAATATTCCTTTTTTTGCCTGCTTTGTGCACTAGCCTGACATTTCTCTTTGTTCTTATGGGCATGTATCTAGCTCCCTCCCACAGATCTCTTGCCTGGCAAGCACAGTGTAGACTCTCCACATGATTCTTCCCCCACAGAGCATACAGTGTGTGCTGTGCTGTGGGTGGCAAAGGAGGAGAGAGCAGCCATGGCAGCCCTAGAAATATCAGTCTCACGGGTGTAATTATGCAGGGCCTCAGAACTCCTCAAAAGTCTTAAGCAGAATGAATGTCTCCGTGTAGGGACATGGTCAGCCTTGCTCTAGTGCACACAGGCTGAAGCAGGAGCTACGTGGGAGGTATGGTGAGCATTACACCTTTTGCACTCTGGGAGTTTTGTGGAAATATGAGCCAGCAGCTATGATAGAAAGGAGAACTTCCCACCAGGAGGGACAATTCATTTCCCAAAATTCTAAATTACATTTCATTTCACGATAAGTGTGACAAAATTATAAAGCATTCAGTGTTTGTATTTTCTTTCTTTTATTGATATGCCATGTATTATGTTACATATATTAAGCTATATTATCTTACATTTTAAATTATTCATAATTTTTATTCATCATAATAATCTGGCTAGTCCTCTGATTGAATATGGCACACATTTCCCTCGAAGGAAAAAAGGTTATGGTCAATGGAGGAGAAAGAATCAAACAGCCATTATTCCATGAAAGATGTTCACATGGCTACAGAGCTTCACAGAGGAAAATCAAGGAATCTCCATTGGTTCTTCCCCACTTCTCATCAAAGCCTTCATAGGGATCATTTTTCTTCAACCACTGTGAAATACCATAAAACCTGAAGTTTTCTGCATTTACATCTATTTTAAGCATATGTAATGGACAAAACACAGTTTCCCAAAGGTAAAAATATCTGAAAAATAATTAGTGTTTATCATAGATGTACATCTTGCAAGAACCTCCTGATTTGAGTTCTGTGCACTATGGACTAGAATATGAGACTTGCTCAGATTTTCTTGGCGAGTTCTGCTCTGGACAACGTGATACTGATATCCAGTTTATGTGATGCCAAAGTCAATCATTTTTCCAGAAGAAATACATGGAAGTCAAGTTCAGCAATACTATTTTATACATTCTATTATATAAAACAAAGTGTTTTCCCAGATCTTTAAAAATGTAGACTGTTTAAATCTACAAAGAAATCTAATATGAAGAATTAATACTCTAAACTGAGTCTGGGTTTGTGGTTTTTCCTATAGTGGCCACTCAACTGCCAGATGCCCTGCCTAAAAGCACCGTGCCACCCTCAGCATCACTAACAACTGCAAAAACCATCCCACAGCTGCAAGGTATGATTTTTCATGTACCTGAAGAGAAACTTATTCTATTTTACTGTTCTTTATGAAATGAACACTATCCATCTTGATTTTCAAAACATAGCTCTTGCATGGTGAGGGGAAAATCTTGCATTTGTAACATCATAACTATAAATCATGGATATTTCCTTAAATGGGAGTAGAGGGAAGGCTATATGGATTAACATATTTATCAAAGGTGACTTGTTTGTTTTCTCTCTCGAAATAACAGACACCGAAGATGGGAAGATCACAGCCACTCCATCAACCACCCCCTCTTACTCTAGTGAGTAACATATAAATCTCCATTCATGGAAATAGACTTGCAGAATATGCAAATAAGAAGAATGAAAGGGCAGGGTTATGGACAGCCTTTCCTCAACTTCACTCAGCCTGTAGTTCCAATAGTTCAAACCGCAGCCTGCTTTAAAAATCCCCACACACATCTGATTGGAATTACTACACCATGGCCATTTTCTTCCTCTCTTTTCTTTTTGTTTTTCTTTTTCACTCTTGTCCTAGTGGTAAGCAATTACCAAAAAGGACAAATATGACTTGGTGTAACTGTATTCAACTACAAATCACCATACTAATACATTTTATCCAAATCATCATGCCATACCAACATATCCATCTTCATTTGTCAATTGAACATTCTTAAGGCAATTAAATTATAAAGAACAATAATTCTTTTTACCTTGATGAAATTTTGTCATATAGATGGCAGTTAATTTTACTTTAACTTGAACCTATACAAGCAATAAAGACCTTAGAGGTGTGTTAAGTCTGAAAAAATAAATAATAGTTCAGCTGTTCCCTTAGCAATTAACAGTAAGATGAATGTTTGTGAAGCTGGAATTACAAATGATTATCTTTGGTTTCAGTAAAACCATTTCATTAAAAAGGTATCACAGAAGGAATGCCATATTGATTCACAGTATTTCCGTTTTGAGGAGGAAATAACATCACTCAAGATCTATTTTAAAGTGTGCTTTAACATTGCTTCCTGAAAGTGGAATGTAAGCTGCCCTACTGATGAAGTAAAATATTATTGCCCCTTGATAAATAGGCAAGAAGCATAGAGGTGAGGAAATGGAGTACCTGACTAACTCTGCCTCTCACTGCTCCTTTGCTTTAGTCACTAAACTTTTACCCCTGAAATGACTCACTGAAAACTCAAAAACCCTCTTCTTAACCAAAACAGGGAAGCCTTCTTCTGACTCACAACAGCAACACACCCTTTGCGAACACATGCCCAAGTGAGCATACCTGCCTATTGGAGCTACGTTGTTAGACGTTCTAAATTGCTATCCAATCAATCTACTTAAGTTCTTTTCCATATTTTCTAGTTTTAAGGTAACATGTTGCAAAGATACAAGTTTCAGCCTTAAGATTAGAACCACTCAAGTCAGCTGCATATTTTTAAGTAATTTAATAATAAAATACAAAAAAAAAATGATTGAGTACAGTTCTAACTCTAATCTAGAGAACTGTTGCCTCTAGTCTCTCTCCTTATGCCCCCAGCCTCCGGAAAGATGGGCAGCCATCTCCTTGAGGTTTGGAAGTTTAAGGAAGGCTACAAGAGTGACATCAAGTGGATATGTCAGAAATGACAAGCAGAGCAAATCTGTGAATCAGAAGAATTATGGCCCGGAATGTAATAGTGTTTTGATAGAATGATGTTTAAAGAAGGAAGTGTGCATGTTTTGTCCAGTGTGGTCTATTTGTATGGGATTAGCATCACTCCAACTGACAATGTCTCCAATAATTTCAGGTATTATTTTGCCCGTGGTTATTGCGCTGATTGTTATAACACTCTTGGTATTTACTCTGGTGGGTTTATATCGAATGTGCTGGAAGAGAGACCCAGGTAAGTAACAACCTTTTGTTTTGCTTCATTTTGGTTTCCCAGAAGTAGAATGGGGGTTTGCTTAGTGCAACCTTGAATTTAAAAACTGTCAAAGGGAGAAGAGTTTTGGTGACAATACCATGTCACCCGATCACAAAGAGCAGGGGGAAGAGGCGGGGAAATTCTCTGCATGCTATTCAAAGTAAGGAGTGATGATTCAGATCTATTTAGAGTAAATATAGATCAATTCTTGCTAATGAAATAGCCTCAACTGTGAGGACAGTCACAGATCTATGCTCCAAAGACAATCAATGTGCAATAGGATGTGTGGCCTGTGGCAGAGAATAAGCAGAGGAGTGTGGAAATTTACTTTAGAAGTCCATAATCTTAAAAATCACACTCTGGGACCTATGTCCCTTCTTGGGGCCTCAACTTCTTTCCAACATAGATATCTTCTTTGGTGGTGTTATGCAGTTTATCTTTTCTTTAAATAAACCTTCTATTGTAGAGTAGACTAATATTTTAGAGTAGATGAGTTATAAGGATGATACTTTCCCTCATATTCCTCATCTAGAATCCACCATCGTCGTCATAAATTCTCTGTCATCATTATCATCTTAGTGTAGAACAGTACAGTTGTCTCGACTAATGAGCTGGTGTTAATGAATTATTCTAAACAAAACTCTCTACGTGATTTGTGTTCCTTCCTTCTATATTTAGTTGTCCTCCTAGTCCAAGGGTGGTGCTGTCTGTTGAGTTGATGCTCTGCCTGTACCTCCCTTGGCTCACTTAGCTCAGCTATTCCCTCTACCACATGAACTCCAATTCATTTGGAGTTCCAGTCCTCTGCTCTGGATGTGCTGTGATGTTCAGGCTTTCATACATTTACCCATAATTACCATTTTCCTGGAACATCAAGTCTACCCACCAGTTGGCTTATAGAACACATTTGCAACTTACCCTAAAGGATTCCACCAACAATAATCTATTCTACATTTTGGTAACATACCACTTCATTAAGCAGAACAGATTATACCATTAATTTTTACTCTACAAACTGGATTAACAGCTTCATGGCATTATAGATTTTTACTTTTTCTCTGTGCCTGCATTGCCTGTGAGCCCAGCTCACCTTGAATTATGCCTGATATATAGCAGTAGACTTTTATTCTCTGCTTGTTGAGTTAAAAATTTTTAAATGGCCAGTGAAATAGATCTTCCCTTTATTTTCATTCTAACTATTTCACTAACAAAATTCTATCTAAGCCTCTTAAGCTGTTAAGAAGGTAAAAGGTGCTTATTTTTATATGGCTTATAAGCTGCACAGTTACTTTCTTACCCCAGGACATTAATGACTGTGGGTTAGGCCAGCCACTGACGGTGCATCTCACAGACAGTTGGAGCAGATCATGACAGCAAAAGGAGAAGTTAGCAGACCAAAACAGTGGCATTCATTTGAGCTCTGGGTGGAAAATAGGGAGAAAAAAAAACAAAAGAAAAAGAAAACCATGTGCTTTGCTGTAAGAGTGAGTGAATAAATCTCATAATGTCTGAAAGTTACTTTCTTATCCCATTCCCAAAGAGGAAATAGTACTTGCATAAACCAGTCCCTCCTCCCGTCACCCATTTTTAAGCCACAAATCTTATTTCTATGGGAATATAGCCATTACAGTATCACAGTTGAAGCCTGTGGGTGTTGAGTCTATGAGATGGATAAAAACTAATATGTTAAATCTACTTATAAAAATACTGTGTACTGAAAAAGAATTGTTTAACTGGAAAACTTTGAAAATGCATGAGGTTAAGAGTGACATTTTCTATTAAAGCTGACTTTAAATGAATAAATCCTTACCACTCTGAAGAGTTATTGTGAAGATGTATGGTGCTCTAAAACCAAGTGTGGAAGTTATGTAATCAGGCAGGTCTATTTGGTTACTGTTAGCTTTGTTTCCACACAGAGTTTCCAGCATTGTTATCTTTAAATTAGCACCATTAAACACCTGCAGTTAATCACTCTTTAAGTACATGGGGGAGACTTCATTACATTCAGAAAATTAATAAGCCCATTCTGTTCTCTGGTAGACAACATGAATCAGAAGTTGGAAATTAAGCTTATCTGAATAATGTTTGCCATAGATTGAGCTTTTAACATAAGCATGGTATATATGCAGAAAGTTTCTCGGTAAGCATCTATCTGCTAATTAACCCACTGTTACCATACTCTAAGTAAAATGCTAAAACAGGCAATCAAATATTATCAGTTCACTCTAAAGGGGGACTATGAACATCACAGGTAATATTGCATTTGGCACTTATGGTAATAAAAACATACTGCTAGACCCTGCTAATGGGGAAAAACATGGTTAGACATCATTAGTGAGCTGCATCAGGGTATGATGGGTTAATCTTAGGTAGTTAGAGTTCTAGTTGGATGTCTTGGGTTGGGCAAAAGAAATAGAAGCAGTTGTCCAAGGTTTTTAGGAAAATAATAACACTCAAAGGCAGAAGAGATATGCTCAAGAGGCTTGTCCCAATGATGGGTTAGGTTAGATATGAAGAGAAACTGCACAGGAGCCAAGTGGAAAGGGACATAATCAGGGGCAAAACAATGGAGTGAAACAGCTTAACATTTGCTTCAGGAAGGCCATGACCCTACAGTAGGAACCATCCTCACAGTGAACCCAAGGGGTTTCTAAACGTGGAAGGCTAGCTGCCTCAGTGGCACTTTGAAGGCCATGCTTGGAAGGTTGGATCAATGGGCTGTGATTTGTCTCCCAAAAAAGAGCAATGCATAAAGGAGAAGAGAAAAGTCTGTTCTCCAGTTGAAAAGGGCAACGGATACTTTGAGAAGTTTCTCACAAATATCAAATATATGGAAGTTTCTAGTGTTCATGTGATAGACAATCCAAGATGGTACATTCGCAAAGTAATGTGATGCTATATGGTAAAAATTAAACCAGAACCAAGTTCTTGGTAGTTTATTTAACAAGGATTGCTCCTTGTCAGGGGGAATGTTAACTGTGCCTGAGGGAATGTCTGTGGGTAGCCAGTAAGATTAAAACTGGTTCTAGAAGGAGTTTTAGCAGAAAGCAGCCCTGATATCATATTTACTGTCTTCTCTTCTAGGCACTCCAGAAAATGGGAACGATCAGTAAGTTGGGCTGCATCACTGTTTATCTTTTCCCCAGAACTTTCAATCCTGTCATTTAAATAGAGAAAAATTTTGAACTTGTACTTACACTTTATATATTGTTTTCATATATATATATATATATATATATATATAAAATGTAGCTACCGTACATGGGATTTGGCTATTTTTCAGAGCTATTTAAAGACAACTAAAAGAGAAGGTTGCTGGTAGGTATGGACAAGGTACAAGACAGAAAACAAATCAAAATAAAAAGAGATGAGAAAAAGATTCAGTGAAGGGCTGAAGGATGAATATAACAAAGCAAAATATGTAAACCACATCTGGCATTTCAAGATAATGTTCCTGATGAAATGTTCAGCATGTTCACCACAGCTAAGGAAAACAGTGCCTGTTCTTCAAGCTGCCTCCAGGTAGCTTTGCCTGGGTGCAAAGTTGCTCAGCTTTGACTGTCAGAGGAATCCAAACAGCTGGCAGCAGCACAGGCAGCGATCGCAAGCAAGGGGCTGGTGAGCCAGGAGACGTTGTGTTTGTTCATGCTGGAGACAAGAAAGCCACTGCATCTTCTTTGTTAACCTGAATGTACACCCTTTGTTTATAGTAGTGGTGGTGTTCTTTCTTTTTCCACTAAACTGTAACTGTTACAGAAATAATGTCTCTTCATTGCCTACCCATCTTACTTACAAATGGAGGCTCTCAGGATATCTAAGGAAAGAAGCTAGGTTTTGGAACTGGAATCTGGAAAACAGTATAGGAAACTCTCTTGAAAACAGTTGGTTCAGACACTACAATCTTGAGATCTAATAAAATGAATGTCCCTGGACCTCACTTTTTGATCAGAAAGTTCACAAATGTGTCTGTGTCTTCTACCTCATAACTCACAACTGGAGACACAGGCAATTTAGACCTGGTGACATTCATCTACCTGATCCAGGTGATGTTTAACTAAACAGATGATCACCACTGTGACAGTGATGGGACCTGCCATCTTTCTTCAAAAACTACTGGCTACACAGCGTGTCTGTGCTTATAGTGAAGGGACATAGAGTTTGCCATATAATCTTACAAAAAAAAAAAAAAAAAAAAGCTTTGCCTGTGCTTTTTCTTCACTCTGGGCCAGATCGACACACTGTCCATTACTATGGTGATAACTTAAGTGTTTCTGTTTCAAACAGGCCTCAGTCCGATAAAGAGAGTGTAAAGCTGCTCACTGTGAAAACAATCTCTCATGAGTCTGGTAAGTTCCCATTTGGTTAGAAGACACGTGACTAGATGACAATCCTGTGACAGCACTGGCGTTTAGTCATGTGAAATACAAGCCAAAGCAGAACTTCTTGAGAAATAGTGCAGTTGTAGTTCTTGATACATGCTAAGTCCTGCTCTGAAGAGGAGATGATCCTTACATTTTCATAAATTGGAATTTTGGGTCTTGCATTATTGGGGCTGCTTTTGGTAGATGTACAGATGTGTTCTAATGAATGAGTGGTGACTAGACACTTTTACTGTTTTGTAGAAGTAGCCAAAAGACCAGAAAGTTTAACAGGGTTTCAAAAGTTCTGTTTCATTTTGGGTAAGGGGTGTGTGTGTGTGTGTGTGTGTGTGTGTGTGTGTGTGTGTGTAGTCACTTGGAGTCATGATTTGTCAATTAAAATTTAAAAATGGACTACATTATTTCCCACAATCTCAACTAAACTTCTCAAGAAACATCAAATATATTTCTTATCAATATAATCTACACTTGTGCTTTTGATTCCCTATCCATATTTTACTCAATTTGAAATGTAAAATTCTTGAAAAATGCATATGTGATTTGTCTTAGATGTGTTTGTGTCAAGAGCAATAACAAATAAGATGTAGGCTTGTTTTGAAAAATTAATGGTTATTTTCCCTTGATTCAAATAGACTGTTATCTAAAGCACTGATGTCACCAAACAGAGAAATTAAAAACAACTTCTAATTTTCACAAAGTAATCCATATAGTTCTAATTTAAATAACAAGTCATATGGTTCCAGGGTGCATGTGTATAGTAAAGAGCTATGTAATAAACATTTTTAGTAGTTAAAAACAATTTTGTAAAACAACAAGCTCTAAGTATTGTTCCAAACCAAAAGCAAGATATCAAAAATTTTTTTTTTCTTTTTTTTTTTTTTGGTTTTTTGAGACAGGGTTTAGATATCAAAAATTTAATGTTTCAGTGCCAGGCAGGGTATTCCACACAGAGTAAAGCATCGTAGAAAAAGCACTGGACAGGAAGAGCCAGGGCCTCCAACAAAGCACGGACATGCCTTCATCCTCTCTCTTCTCTTCATCTGCCTTTCCCTTCTTACTGGAGATGGGACCCACAGCCATGCTAAGCGATTGCTCTCCCTTTGATAATGGTCTCAGTCCACCATTTTTCTTTTAAGAGAAATCTGGTTTTTTATTCTTGCTTCTTTAATATTGTTTGGTGCATATGTTACTTCTATGTCCACTCTATTTTCTCTCTCTCTCGAGTAACCCCATCTAATGGGGCAAAAGAACACAGATCATCCATAGAGCCATGTGAATCTGTGCCTAGGATTTTCCTGGCTCTTCACCAGCAATGACTATGTAGCCAAGCTTGTTCTACTGGATCACAGAAAGGAGTGGGACATTGAGTAAGGGACCTAAATATGTGTTAGTTAGCACGTGAGAAAGCCTGAGCATGATAACAGTGCTAATCATGAGAAATTCTCCAGAGTCTGCCTGTGTCTGGCCAAGAAGCATCACAATGATTCTATGTGCTGTCCTGCCCTTCCTTAGGAGTTTAAACAAGTGCACTACAGTCTCCTTGACTCTGGAGTTGTGCAATGAGGTATTGTGCAGGAACTCCAAGGGACACCTGCAAGGAGCTGACTATAATAAAGATCTCCACCACCCGCTTCTAGGAAAATGATACCTCGCACTAGGATCATAGGTTTCTCAAGAGAACTCCCCATCCCCCCAAATCTGAAACCTTCTTAAGTTCTGTTTTGAAAACTGAACTTCACATTTGGCTCTCTTGGGGTGGTACTTGCAACAATAAGTGAAGCTGACCCATATAGCTAGATGATCTTCAACCTTACATGTTTCCCTTTCCTTCCTACAGGAGTTATTAGGACCCAGGTTTGAAGCAGAAATATTATCTTGGGAATATTAAGAAGTAGTTTCTGGTACTTACATTCCTTCCCAGTAAGATTTGGGAACCACACTGCTTTCAAAATTACCCCAAAGGCCAATCCAGCTTATTACCATTGGAAAATGCCTGAATTAGATAGAAATTGATGATTTAGAATTGATTTTAATAGCCTAGAATTAAGAAGCTAAGTATAATGATCTTCAAATGGTCCTTATACTACAGAATTTTGATTAAAGTCTATTGTTAATGGAACTTGGTGGCTTCAATGTTCCAGTCAAAAGTCTTCTCATTGCCCTTCAAACTTATTCAAATACATCTTCTTTAGAAAATCTTTCTCACCACACTGGTAAGAAGTTTAATTTTTAAAATTATTTAACATTTGTCTCAGGACCAATGCTAAAATCTTTCCTAAAATATAACTAGAATAGAGCCTGAAATGATAGAGTTTAATATAATTTTACAAGTTTAGCTCAGTTTTTCTACCATCACCCATATAATCATCTCAAAATTGAAATGAAAAAAATCATCTGATAAAGGAGACAACAGGCCACTCACAGACTATAATTGAAGACTGCTATAACTTACATTATTTATCTCAAGGTCTAAGTCATACAGTGTTAAATTAATATACATAAGCGGGAGTATAATGAAATTGGGGTTTCAGTAGCCATACATGGTTTTGGGTACAGTCATTGCCTCACTATAGAATCTCAGGACCTTTATCTCAAAATGAATGATGTCATGATAGAAAACAATAAACAAATGTTTCCAAGAAAGGAAAAGAAAAGAAAAAAGAATATCCTTTAAAGCCTCATACTTTGAGGGAAAGTTCCAGTGCATTCTAAATTATTTTTTGTTGTTTTGCTTTTTGGTATTTTTGTTGTTGTTGTTGTTGTTGTTGTTTACAGATGCTTCAGGGGTTCTTATTAAATTTCTTATGATTTTCCAAGTGTTAACAGTTTCCCAAAGTCCTCTTCCTCTAGTTGGGTGACCATGCTCATCTACCATACTCGCCAGTTCCTTTACATATGTTCTTTCTCAAGCAGTCTGCTACTGAAAGCATAGTTCATATATATTTAAAGGTGGAGTTCATCTTCATATAAAAGAAAAAGTGTGCTACTACTGTGTAAGAAACTTGTGCTTTTAGAAGAATGACATTTTTGTAGGAAGTGTAGCCAAATTAAACACCCCTGTGTCTAAGTGCAGGCTATATGGCCAACATGATGGGTTAAGTGGGGTTCTCAGACAACAATTCAGAGATGATACATTTCACCTCACTTTTAGCATAGAACGCTAGAAGAAATTTGAAGAAAATATTTGACCACATATATATAATATAAAATAGAAAAAAAATAAATTTAAAATCACATATTAAGTACAAACTTGGCCCAACCACTATTGGCATTTGGCATCTTCTTGTCTTCCAAGTGCTCCTTGTCCCTATGTATGTGGATGTGTTCTTTGTTTTTGTCACAGTGTGTTAGTTGTTTTCTGTTCCTGTGATAAAATATGATGACCAAAAACAATGTAAAGAAGAAAGGGTTTATCTTATGGTTCCAGAGACAGAGAGAGAAAGAGAGTGCAAGCGAGCCAGCCCCGTGATGGGAAAGGCAGCAGGAGCAGGGGCTAGAAGCTGACCACGTTTTCATGCACAGACAGGAAACAAAGACAGAGAACAGGAAGTAGAGCAAGGCTATACCCTCAAAGCCCACCCCCAGGGCCATACTCCCCTAGCAAGGTTCCCACCTCGACCTCCCTAAACTCCTGAAGCAGTGCCACCAAGTGGAGACCAAGTTTTCAAATACATGAGCCTGTGGGGGACATTTCCCAATTCAAATCATTACACACAGGTATCACTATTATAATAACTGTTACCCAAATCGTGACATGGCTGAGTTTTTCTCACACTGTCTATTTCTGACTGGACAGAACTTAAGGTCAAATATTAAGAATTGTAATGAATTCTCATACAATGTCCTTTATGTGATTTCTGCATTTTGTTTATTTCTTATTCTTCTACTTCAAAGTCAGGGGCTCCAGGTAAGTGATGTGCCTTTGGCAAACTAAGCAGGTGCAAGCAGAAGGTAGGTCATAGTGTGGTTGGGGCTGCAAGGGATGTCACACTGTGCTCAGCAACTCCTCCAGCACAGCCCTAAGAATCACAGTTAGAAAGGGTTCTGAGTCTGTCAGCTCTCTGATACTATTTATTACCACCATACCTGTGAAAGTGACTGGTGACATACACATTGTCACCAGAAGACAGATGTGTTAACCACTGACAGACAAAACCTAGATAAAATGAGGACATGTATCTGAACAGACGGAGAATCTTATCCATATTGCTGATATAGTGATAGGTGCTGATACTTGATACTCCCTGAAAGATGCTGGTACTATGAAACACCCTTGTCATGAATTCAGTACCATGGAAAAACTGCTTGGGGACTCTCCTCTTTCCATCATCCAGGTCCATCCTTTTACCTTTAAACTCAATAGCAGAATGTTACTGAAATTTTGAGCCATGCTACCTATATGCTTCCCTGAATGTCACTAATGCATTCCCGTGGGCTTATAAATTATTTTCCCAAAGTTCCCACTGAATTATTTAAACAGAAGAACCCCAGAATACCTTCTTGATAAAATGTCACTTTAAATATATACTGTGGGTTTGCCTAGGAAAAGCCACCTCACATAACAGGAGAGTCTATAATGAACCCCCTGGCATCTCCCCTGTGATGTCTCCTAATCCACACTCTCACCTCCAGGGAGTTAGTTAGCAAGGATCCTTTAGGGTGAAAATACATGATGGCCAAAGAAAGCTCATAAGTCTTAGTAAATAATTTCCAGGCAATACCAAGAGGCAAACTGTGGCTTCAATGGCAATCTTGCAGAAAAATTGAACTTTTCTTGAAAAAAATGAAAATCCAGGAAACTTTATTTTCATTTTTCATGTCTCTGAGCACATAGATCAAACCTACCCTCTGTTCTTAGGCGAGCACTCTGCACAGGGGAAAACCAAGAACTGACAGCATGATGGATCCTCCCTACACCTGGGCAATAAATATGTAAGTTTCCTAATTCCGTTCACAGATATACTCATTAATATCTGCTTCCTTAGCCTGCTATCCCTCAGATTATTTTATAGACCTTTAAATCCTGAACATTTAATGGTTGGTGTCAATGAAAACATCATTGGCTATTTGTCTAAAAGCAAACTATAAGAAAAAGGGACCAGAAAAATGACTGCTGTCTTGATTACAGAACATTCTTCCAGTGCCCCCCCACCACTGCCTAAGGAATGACACTGTTCACTCTTCCTGCCTACTTCTTGTTAGTACAGCCCTCCTGCACCCGAGTTAGGCAAGGTTCCACAGTGTAACGACAACCCAAAGGACACAAGGACAATGCTGACAGACCTGTAGCTTATTGCAGGGAGGGATACCACACAGACGCTGTGCAGGGTTAAAGATGTGGCTTTCTGCCATAGGCTGGCTCAGAACTGGTGGCCCAGCTCCATAGAAGACACAGTCATCTTCCCACCATAGGGACCACATCCCGAGGCACTTTCTCTCTAGATCTAGGAACCACGGATATGCACACAAAACTGTTCAAGCAGAGTGACCAAAAACGCAGTCTCAGTTAAGATTTCTTAATTCCATACTAAATATGATGACTTGTTTTTGCTATATGACCAGCTGAGGAACACAGCTTTTATGTGGTCAAGGAGACCAGACAGAAGTGATAAATCTCACACGGCAATAATTGTTAATCCAAAAACAATAGAGGTTCTCAAAAGCATGAACTACCTTTTGATCAGCATGTTCCTGGTCTGGACCAGAAGCCGGTACAATGCAGGGACCTTTCTTATTTTCTATCAAAGCTGCTCTGGAATTACTCCACATGAGGTTAGTTGCCTTTGGTTTTCCTAGAAGAAGGTTACGAGACTTTCTGGTGTTGATTTGGTTCTTATAAGAAGCATCAATTAAATGCTGTTGTAATTAATGTTTGGTATTTTATAGAATATATAGAAAATTTATCCTTCAGAATAAACACTAAAATGCAAATGAACCAATAAACACTTACATATTCGGTACTGGCCTGGCCAAGCTGGTCATCACTCTGAGTAATGTGTCAGAGGTGAGGAGTATCACTGTTCAATGCACAGCTGTGTCCACTGTCCAGCTATTAATATGTCAGTCTAACAGACACTCAGTTGTTTGGTGAGTTCATGGTGATGTCCAAGCTTTCTTCACCAGGAACCGAGGACAGCTTCAGAGATGCCCATCCAGATGCAGACACCAGCATCACAAACTCATCTGCCTCTAACCTGCTGTTAGGGGCATGCTGGTGTAAGAGGAATTTAGGGCTTTATTTTTCTTTTTGGAATGGTCACTTCCAGAGCCCAGTAAGAGAAGCTGGGTGCGGTGGCATGTGAATTAGCCTTAATTAATGAAAAGAAAGTTTCCTTGCGAGATAGCTGTAGTTTCCTTTCAACTCAGTACTTAGTAAAGGGATGTTTTCATATTTACAAAGGACTCAAAATGCAGAAGCCAATTTTCCAACTTGGATGAGGACAATAAAGAGAAGAATAAATTGTCTAGTCCAAGTAAGTTTAATAAAAGAAAGTACTGTCCATGCTGGGGCTGCATTGCACTCAGTAAAGTGCTTGCTCACCAGGCACAAGGTCCCAGACCCCATCTCCATCACCATAGAAAATGAGACAGGGTATCATAGCACTGGGGAGTACAGACAGGAAGATCTGAAGTTCAAAGTCATGCTCAGACACATAACACATAGGAAGTTTGAGGCCAGACTCTTCTGCATGAGGCATTGCCTCAAATCCAGAGAGAGAGAGAAGTTAGATGTTAGATAGGTGGATGGATGGATGGATGGGTAGATGGATGGATGGGTGGGTGGGTGAGTGGATGGATGGATGGATGGATGGATGGATGGATGGATGGATGGATGGATGGATGGATGTATAGACGGACGGACGGACGGATGGATGGATGGACCGACGGACGGACATACAGAAGGACGGACAGACAGGCAGGCAGGCAAACAGGCAGGCAGGCAGGCAGGAAGGTAGACAGACAGGCAGACAGACAAACAGATAGAGATCTGTCAGCATTGTCCCTGTGTCCTTAGGGCTGTCATTACACTATGCAACCTTGCGTAACCCGGGTGCAGGAGGGCTGTACTCACAAGGAAGCATCACTCATAGGCAGGTAGAGTGAATGGTGTCATTCCTTACTCAGGTGAGGAAGGCAGGGAGAGACATGGGGGGTGGCGTTATCCAACTCCCCTTTAGCAATAGGCCTCAATCCTACACAATGAACTATAGGCAACTAAGGAATGCTGAGAGCCAGAGAAAGTCTTCTCCAGGGAAGAGCACATCAACTAGTTATCCAATACCAAACAGTCAACCCTAAGGGCATGCATGTAAATAACATTATATAGACTGAGTCAATTGATATTCAGTGATATATATATACTCATGCATATATGCATTTAACAACAATTAATGAAAAAAAGAAGCCATGGATTTGAAGTAGAGAAAGGAGAGGTGTATATGGAAGGTTTGGGAGGGAGGAAAAGAAAGGGGGCAGTGATATAATTATATGATAATATTAAGAAATGAAAGAAATGTTTTAAAAGTCTAGTCTGGGGAGATGGCTCCGTATGGAAAGTGCTTCCTGCACGTGTGTCCGGGCTTCACTGTGGATTCCCAGGACCCAAGAAATGTGGGATGAGTGTGGCAACCACCTTGTAATCTTAGTGCTCAGAAGGGGAAATGGGCTGCCCCAGAAGCAAACAAACTAACTAGCCCTAGTAGCCAAATGGGTAAGTTGAGTTCAAGTGAGAAACCCTCCCTCAATACACTAGGGTGATCAAAGCAGACACCATCAACCTTGGCCTCCACATGTACCTGTGTACACATGTGCCAACATGCCGAAATAGATACAGCCACATCACACATAACATGTACATACCATGCACATGCAAAATATATGTTCCTGTGCTATGATTTCTTGTTCTTTGATTTGCAAAGCTACACAACTCTTGTTGCTCTTCTGAATAATTTGAGGATTGCATAACCGTATTCTGAAGAATAAAGATCAGAAAGGCGTAGGAAGAAACAAGTTTGACATCTGTCAATTGTACCATCTATTTGTGTTACTTTTTCTTCAACATACATATTTCTGTCACTGTACTAAGAACTTAATAACCAGTGAGTAATTTCTAGGCTGTCAACTGAAAGTCAGATATCAATGCAGAGATTCAGAATGAATTGGAGTGAGTTCATCGGAACTGGGGAAGGAAGGGAAGCTTCTGGATCTGTATGCAACAACAAACAAGGCGCAGGCAATCACTCACAATCAAATTTTTCACCTCAAATGAGCATTCTAGATGTATTTAAGGCTTTCTGTTTCATCTAGTGATCATCCCTTGTTTTGCGGGTAACTATATTTAATGTGAATTAGCAGGGCAGGCAGGAATTCCAAAGACTTTTGAGCTGCAGTCTTTGTCTTCTGCAAAACATTATCTACTAGGAGAATAAAATCTTATATAAGAAATTTAAAGAAAAAGCAATTACAGAAAGACGCTGGCTCATGCATTCAAATCTGTCCTAACACCTGCTATGTTTATAACAATAGGAAGGTTGATAGGGCTCCAGATGATACTACCCTCACACTGCAGAGTTGGTGTCATATTAGAAGATGGACTAGTTGGGTGCTCTAGAGGCACAGCATCTATAAAACAAATATGTACTAAAAGGGAATTTGTTCAGTTAGCATACACAGTGTGGGCTGGCTAGTTCAACAATGGCTGCCTTCATTTTGGAGAGACTGAGAACCCAGTAGAGGCTCAGTCCATGAGGATGAAGGCCTCTGCAGTCCTACTCTGACACCAAAGACCTGGAGGGTTCCTGGGGAGCTACTGATCTTCAGTCCACACTTGATACCTGAAGAAGCAGGGCTCTGATATCAGTGAAGGGAAGCATCAGGGGCAGTGGCGGTATGAGTCTGACAAGCAGGCAAAAAGCATGTCTGTCTTTCTTAGCCTTCCTTTCACTCATTGCTTCCTGCCACCAGAAGGTGGGACCCTGATTTGGAGAGACTCTCAATTTCAAATAAGAGAAAATCCTCACAGGTATCCCTACTGGCTTATCTCTTAGTTACTTAATTCCAGTTGAACCAGGACAACCACCATAAGGGCCTTAATACTTACTTTATCTTCAACTTTTCCTCTATAGTTCACTGTAGTACAAGCTGTGAGAACAAAGATGGTTTTATCCTCAAAATAGTTGGTCTCATACTAAAAATAGCTATTTGATTTTTTGTAAGCCATTTAAAAATCTTGTGCTTAACCAGGTGGTGGTGCCACACACCTTTAATCCTAGCACTCAGGAGGCAGAGTCATGTGGATCTCTGTGAGTTCAAAGCCAACTTGGTCTACAGAGTGAGTTCCAGGAAAGCCAAGGCTACGTAGAAAGACCCTGTCTTGAAAAACCGAAAACAAAGCAAAACTTGTGTTTACTTTTGAATGCCACTATAATCAAAGAACCGGAGCTGTGTGATATGCCAACATACACATTTTTCTTTACAGTTTAGTACTCCTTGGCAGGTACTAAATGTATTCTGTTATTGTTCATTGAGATTATTCTCATATCAAGAGTAGGAAAGGTGGCATGACTACAGGATATAATTTGTTGCCACACAGAACTCCTGCTAAGGCCAGAGTCTTTATTGGTATATGAATTTCATAGACATTTTTATTCAAGTAGGTCCTGTACTTTGACCTTATTCATCCCCTAAACCCATCCCTTTCTCCTCTTTCTTTTCTCTTCCTTCCTTCCCCAAGACAGCCTCATTTTTCTTTTTATGTTATCTATATAAAAATCTAAGGTACACACACAAGAAAATAATAATAACAGGTACACAGTTTGTCTTTCTGATTCTGGCTTATTTCACTTAATATGTTGATTCCCCATTTGCATCCACTTTCTTGTTCCCTTACCAGTAGATCTCATCTCCCTTCTCTCACGTGTGCTCAACCATCTGGGGTGCTCTGAAGAGACATCAAGGATGTCCCCACCTACACTTCCTTCTACTCCTTAAGGCTCAGCATGGACTCTGAATACCACTCCCAGGACACAGTAGCCATGGGCCTGGGGATTTTGCTGTGGAGTACTTGTCTAGCTTGTGCAAGACTCAGGGTTCAGTACCTCACACTGTTTAAAAGAAATTCAAGATGTGCCAATTGATTGGATGTGGGCAGGGAAAAAAGTAGAAACAGTACTGTTGATACCACCCACACTTCCAGCCTGTGTGCTTGCATGAATTAGGGAAATAACAGCAATGATGGGGATTATGGAATGAGGGCCAGTGTGGGGAAGGTAATCATTGTCTACTCAGAATGTTCATATTGAAGTGTGTGTGACATTCGTGTGACCACTGTGTATGACAAAAATTTAAGGAAGTCACTAATACTTCTTGCCAAGTCTTCCTCACTACCTCTGAGTTCTTTACTTCCTTCAAGCTGAGTTTTTGTTGTTTTTGTTGTTCACAGGTTTAATCTTCAGCTTCTGAAATCCAAGTGTGGAAAGGAGACAGTCCCGAAGAACCAATTCCATCTCACGGTCTCCTCACAAATCTACATCAGTTGCCTTTCCCTGCAAAGGATTGACATACCATAACCCAATAGAAACATAAAGAGTTCTAGATAGCTCCTGTCTGAGATGTAGAAAATCAAATGACTCTAGTTTTCAGGGACATTTCAAGGAGGAACTTTTGTGAGCAGTGACCCCTCAGCCTAGGCAGGTGGGCTCCCGGGAGACAAGCCATAGATGAGTTTAGAGTTTCCAGGGCTGAGTTTACAGCCTTGATCCATGGAGACCTGCCTATCTTCTTTGTGTTCATATATTAGCTAGTGTTAGTATTTATTGTTTCCCACTATGTTAATGCAGGGAGATTTTGCAAGTGTGTTATTATGTTAAGTAGAAATCATACCATGTTCCTCTGTACAGACAGGTATGCTATTCATGTTTTCATGTGTTACTTTTTAATAAATAATGGCTGTACTCAGCACACTAAACATTACATCATGACTATGGTGTGGCACTGGCATTGTATTACTATAATTTTGACTAGTTGGATTGATTTTTAGAATATGAATTATAATTAGACTATGAGAAAAACATCTATAAAAAGCACAAAAGGACCAGAGGACTGAGGTATCAGCCAGTAGTAGAGGGAAAGAAATTGCCATTTCTTTGGTTTTTCTCATTTGTAATTCACACCATGTGACAAGAATGCTTGATATCTTTGTGATACCAAGAAGGTAGCAGGGTTAGGTTTCTTTGATTGATCTATTTGGCTGATACTAACTCTGTGGTATTTTTATTTATTTATTTTTAGAAATATCACACATGGGTTAAGGAATCATTACTAAAACTCCAATGTCTAGAAAATCAACATCCCATCAATGTTAAATTGGGATGTTATTTTTCAATGTGTCACCTTCCTAAAAATTCAGTAGGAATAGAGTACCACTCCCATCAAGAGCAGATTCTATTGTTGAAATCTAATAGATCAACCTTGACCCCTTCTTGACACAAGAGATCCAAATATCAAGTTAGCTGAAGTTCTGAGAAAAGTTCCAGAATTAACAAGCTGCAACTGGTAGCTCTTTTTAACATCTATGATTTCTTTAGCAGAACTCAATGAAAATTTGTCTTACTGGTCTGAGGGAGGGTTTGATGAAGATGGGAAGACATTTTATAGCGCCATGATGATTTTCTTTCACTGAAAAGTATATGAAACCTTTCAGCTTTAGGGTCAGAGATTCATTTTGATTCTTACCTTCTTGATATTTGTGCTGTATCTAATCAAAGATCTCAAGCAAGCATATATACAGTTCTGATGGGTATCTCTTTATTTTTCTGTGAGAAGGATAGAGAAATGGGGGCCAGGAAAGAAAAGCTAATGGGAGAGGTTAAGTATCTGCACTTTACATATGCTTTCACCTTGGGACTGCTTTTTTTAAAAAAGATTTATTTATTTATTAGGTGTACAGTGTTCTGTCTGCATGTATGTCTGAAGGCCAGAAGAAGGTGCCAGATCTCATTACAGATGGTTGTGAGCCACCATGTGGTCGCTGGGAATTGAACTCAGGACCTCTGGAAGAGCAGTCAGTGCTCTTAACCACTAGGTTAAAAGGTTCTAAAGGTGTGAGGCAGTGGTTGCAGCCCACCCAGCAGGGAGCATTTGCCTTTGTTACAGATTGTTCCAATGAGCTCCTCAGCCATTGTTAAACAGATGCATTGTGAAGAAAGAAAAAAAACTCTTTTAATTTGGCTTTAATGCCTTTTCTCTAACTTTCATAAACACTGTTAGTACTAACCTGATCATTCTAGATTAAGAACCGATCATAAGGGAATTGCTCTAAACTAATAACCAAAGTGTTAAATCTTTATTAAAGGTCAAATTGATAACAGAGAAATTCTGGATATACTCAGGCAATTCTGTAGCAACAGTCTCTAAAGTAAACTCAACTCTGTATTTTTATAAACCAACTTCAAATGTTGGAAAGGATAAAGTATTTGGTTTCAAGTCAATAATATCATCGTTGAAAGTTTTATTTAGAAATAGATGACAGATTGATTTATTTTAATGCCTAACATCATTATGAAGTTTTAATAATGACATACAGTTCAGATATTATTTAGATCAAAAGCAAGGCCTTCCATGTATTTGTGCTACATGATAATATGAATTTAAGTCTATCAACAATCCAAACATCAACAAGAGTTAAATAAATGGTGTTGTCCCCTGAGAACATGTAGGTGGTACTGGCTAGCACACTAGCTGCTATTGCTGACAAGGCAAGACTTCTAGATCCTTCCTGTGGAGCTAAAACATTACACTGTATATGTGACACATCTCTCACCTTCCTCTCATCTACAGTTAAGTCTGTGAGAATTGGCTATGACATCATCTAACCTTCAATGATGGACATGTTAATTTTTTCTGACTTTCCTCTCATAAGCTCTACTTGTCACAAGATTTTATAGGTGATGAGCACTGAGTACAGCTCAATGGTAGGGCACTTGCCTGGCATGCATGAAGCCCTGACCTTGCTGCCCAGAATTAATAAATACAGACAGATGAAAAGACAGAAGATAGATATAGATAGATAGATGGATAGATAGATAGATATTATGATACTATAAAATGAAAACAAAGTATGTCTTAAAAGTTGTAGTTTGAATGCAAAGCATGATTGTCTATGTCAGAAATGCCAGGGCTTATGAGGCTGCTGTCCCAGGCTCTGACAAAATGCTGAAGGCATATATATACATATACACATACAAAGTTGTATTTTGAGTAGTCATACAGTTTTCTGTATCACCAATTCCTATTCTCTACCAATCTTAAATTGAAAAGAATAGGAAAAGACTTGTATCTACACTGAATATGTGCAGACTATTTTATATTGTCTTTGTTCCCTAAATGCATCTGCTTATACATTTATATTACATTAAGTATTGTAGTATTACCTGAGAATAATTTAAAGTACATGGGAAATAGGTGTTGTTTATATGCAAATATGTCATCATTTTATACAAGAAACCTGAGCATCCACAGATTTTTTTTCTCCTGTGATACCCTCAGGGATTATAAAACCAATTATCTGTGAATGTTAGATCAAGGGTCTGCTATGGTCTCAATCAGATGAGTGAACTAAAAGTTGACAGTGGAGGAGGGTCCAGTCCATGACCATTTGGTGCCATTTGCCTGTGGCAAAGCAACACATCACAACAGCAAAGCATGACAGAGTGATGCCACAGCTCTCACGGTCCGGAGATGAAAGAGAAAAAGAAAGAACCCAGAGCCACCTTCAAGGACATTGCCCAGTAGCCCCAGTATCTCCCCCATTAGGTCCTACCTACTAAAGATTCCACCACCTCCCAAAGCAGCAAATTGGGGCCCACACCTGTAACACACTAGCAATTGTGGAATACTAACAATACAAACTGTGTCAGTGCTAATATAGAAGATAGTCACCACATGATGAATTAAGCCTCTGAACTGAGAATCTGGGATGGATTATCCACAGAATTATTCCTTAAAACTTCCCCAGGAGAAGGATGTGGTGGCTCTTGTCTGTGATCATAGAACTTGGACATTGAGGCAGGAAGATCCTTGAAGATTCAGCTAGCATGGGCTACATAGTGAGTCCTGGCAAAGAAGAAGAAGATGAAGAAAGGGGGAAGGGGGTACAAATGAGAAGGGGAAATAAAATCTTTCTCTAGAAACATTTCCCATCCCATTTAAAGGGCACATTTTAGAGCCCCATGGGCTTCAACATAGTTATTTTCTGTTCTGGCATATATTTTTAAAGGAAAAAGTAATTTTGATAGACCATAGAAAAATATTCAATAGTACATTCCTGGACTTAATATAAAAAAAATTCTACCAAAGCAAAGGTCACAAATAATAACTTGAAAGTTGCCAAGGACTGTTTAATATTTAGAAATGAGTAAATATTTTAAATCATGGTTTGTTTGGTTTTTAAGAAATGAAGTTCTACCAAAGTAATAATGAGAAATATTGACAGTTATTATCATGCCTAGTGCTATGAGCCACGCTTGCACTGTGCTAACAAGGCCACAGTTGATACCACATTAGAAACATCTTCATCAAAAGATGTACAAGTCAGCACAGAAAGTTAAGTAACTACCCTGAGGATTGTGCAACCAATCTTTAGCCTGTGGCCAACACGTTGTTCTTCATTACTCTCCTCTATGGTCATAGGCCTTGGTTTTCTTAATCACACAAAACAGTGAAAGCATGATACTCCTGATAACAGTTTTAAAAAATGGGAAACAGACATACCATTCCACTACTAACACTTAAAAACCCAAACAATCATCTCAGAAAACGCACTATGGGTAACAGTGAGCTAGCATACATAGGCACAGGAGAAACCTAGAAGGTGCACCTTGAGAGCCTGATGTTGGCTCAGTCCAAACCAGCAGGACACAGGAGAATCCTTAACCAAAGTGTGCTCATCATTCTGAGTTGAGGAGAAATATACCAGAGGACAGGAGCTAAAGTGGCTAGAATTGGTAGAATGCAGAATCTGATAAGAATTCACACAGAGAAATCCTTCAAAAATGTACATGCAGGAAACTGTATCTGTTAATAATAGGATAAGAACCTCTCAACACAAAGAAAACTCAGTGAGGCCAGGAGAAGAAGTACTGAGGAAAAATGGGGGCTGAATAGTGTGTGTTCATAGATGTCATGTACAGTCCAGAAATGATCTGGGTCTGACAAATGATGCCTGAGAATCTTTGTGCACCACCCATGACCCTGTATATTCACACCCAGTAGAGGCGCTAGAATACTTCAGAATGAGGATGTCTCTAGATAAGAGCTTACAGGCAAGGCTTGCAAGAATTAAACCAATCCACTGTACATTTAGCAGACTTCCTGAATTCTGACAATCTTTATTAAGGCAACAAAATATAACACATACACAAAAAAGCAACAATTTGAATTTCAGATATCATCATACCTAATTTCAGATTATCATCAGCTTGTGGGAAAATGCTCAATAGTACACTCCTAGACATGAAATAAAAAATTCTACCAAAGCAAAGGTCACCAATAATAATTTGAAAGCTGCCGAGGACTGTTTAACAATTCAAAATGAGTTAAGTAGACATAAAATTTTTAATCTTTTTTAATAAAATGAAATTCTATCCAAGTAATAATAAGAAATATTGACAGTTATCACTATGTCCAGTGCTATGAGCCAAGCTTTCACTGTGCTAAAAATGCCCTTTATATGTGTGTGCCCAAGGAAATAAATTGTAATTATTATTAAAATTAGTTAATAAAACAGATTCATAATCAAATAAAAGGATGAACATTTCACAACTAATTAGATGAGATTTGTGTTAACTTAATAACAACCAGCCAGACAAAGGTGTTTGAAAAGAGAAAAAGAAAAAAGGAATCAATAAATAATTCTCATGAACATAAATACCAATGCTATAAACTAAATATTAGTAAATCTAATATAGCATATT